AAGGGCTAAATTAATCTAAACTTAAACTAATTGTAAACCTTCTATGTCAAAATGAATTCTTAAATAAATAAGCGAATCAAGAGAGAGAATTTTATTAACAACTCAATAAAATAAATAAACTCAATAAAAACAAAATGCTAGGGAAAACTCATTACTCTATTACTCTATTACTCATTACGCTCTGTTACACTTTGCAAACTTTACAAGCTGTAGCAAACACAAAATTATTAAAAACTATTCACTTTCATTTCAACATCATAATATTGTCACTTGGTGTTCTGCGTGAATCCTTATGTTTCTTTTTATATTTTATATCACGTTTATTATTTATTACTTGTTTATTGTTACATTTTAATTCAACTTATAGTATATTTCAATCAATTTACGCATTTATGTTTTAATTCGGAATGCGTTTTAATCTCTACATTATCGATTTTTAATATAACGATGAACGAAAGAAGATAGCGTTTTCGAAAATTCTTGATGCAATTGCAAAATTCCAAGGACTCCAAGGAAAACTGCAAGAATTCCTTCAGAAAGTTAATAATGGAAGGTAATAATTAATAATTTCGAGTATTAAAAACACTTACTCAGTGCTATTAGTATTTAAAGTATGTAATTAATCACTATTCTTCGTTATTAAACTGAATTTATGTACGGGAATTTTTCATTGTAGAAAAGTTAATTGTACCAAAAAGTATGAGAGACCACTTAATCAAACGATTTCTTCGCGGAACCAACTTGCAACGAATTCTTAGCGACTCCGGCAACAGATAACATGGTTTACTTTAGTAACCTCGGATGTGCGAGTATCTGCATCGGCGGAGATTTTCTTTCTGCATGCGTAACCTTGGTCGCACAATTATCTTTGTATTGCATAACTGCGTTATAATGTAATAAAGATGAATATGATAATTCGATAAGATTAATAATGAAATATTGCAATCCAGATCGGAATCATAATGTTATTTCAGGAACAGATTTGTAAGAAGAGATTAATAAAATCAGTGTATTCGTATACAAAACATGAGTTGTACCGTCATTATTTTCCTTTCTAGGATAACAGAGAGTAGGGAAGTATAAATGTTTTTTAATAATAATAATTACAAGTAAATAACACAGCATACATTTCGTTTGCGATGCAATTTGTTTATTTCTATCCAATGTAGATTAGCTTTACTCTCTATTTAATTCAATTTTTATTTAATTCTTTTTCTAATTCTTAGAAATGGAAAAAGATAAGGGAGATTATAGATAATCTATATTTGATAGAAATGGATATTAATGGCTGCAGAAAAAGCAGTTTTGCAACTACTGTAAGATTCTTTGAAGAATATGGATTGATTTATACATTTAGATCCAATGAGGAACTAAAAGCAAGTCGAATCATATTAAAGAATTTTACAATAATTTTGCAAAGCTGCTTTTATCTTAACTATCGTTAAGAAAATTTAATCGCAAATACACAGTGTTATTCATTTATAAATAACCAACTAACGTTAGTTGCTATTATTTTTTGTCAAAATGATAACGAATAACATTAACTTGTAATTTTTGCATTTAATTATTTCTGTAAAATGCATGTAATTACATATAATTTTCACGAAATCTTTAGAATAAAAATGAGAAAGAAGTTATGTATATTTAATCTATACTTCTATCAATATAAATTAACTTTAATCTCAATTTAACTCGCTCTTCTTTTTTAATTTTTGGACTTATTTTTAGTATAGATTAACTTTAATCTCCGGATTTAATTTATTCTTTATCTTTCTCCAATTCTTATAGAATTGAAAAAAGATAAGAAAAATAAGTTAATCTATATTAGTAAAAACAGACATCAGGACTAGAATAACAGAAAAATAAGAATCAATACAAATACAAATAAAAATACAAATTGTTTCAATAAAACAAATTATAAAAAGATTATTTAATGCTACGGAATCAATCTATCAAAGGCTCAAAAAGGCTATTTAAAACAAAATAATTATTTCGTTTCGGTTATTTAATGTTCATTTCTATTAACGGAGATTAACTTTAATTTAAATTTAATTATTTTTGTTAATTTTTAGAACTAGAATGATGAAGATTAAATTAGACAGATCAAAATTCAATTTACATTAATAAAAATGGACGTCTAAAAAAAATACGTCTAAAAAAAAATATTTAATAGCCATTTCTATTAACATAGATTAATTATACAATCTCAATTTAATTTCATATCTCTTTCTATTTCTCAAAATTATAAATAAACAAAAAGTAAGATAGAAATTACAATTCAATCTACATTGATAGAAACAGATGTCGTTCCAAAAAAATTATTTAATGTTTATTTCTATTAATGTAATAAACTTAATCTCTGTTTAATTTAACACTTTTTTTTTCGTAAAACTAGAGAGATAAGAATAAGATGAAGAGTAAATTAGACAGAAATTAAAATTTAACTTACATTGATAAAAACAGACACAAGTTATTCGAGAAAAATTATTTAAATGTCCATTTCCATTAACATACATTAATTTTAATCTCGATTCATCACTTAGTATCTTTTTCTACTTCTCACTAGGAAAAAACAAAGAGAGAGTAAGTTAGAAGAAGATCAATATTCAATCCATATTAACAGAAACGGACACAAGTCATTTCAGAAAAAAAAAAAAATCATTTCAATAGTTCGTGATTTCGCGATCAGCAGAATGTCACTGAGTACCACTCCTTCAATCCAAAGATATCAGATGTTTCGGTCGACGTGACAGATCGGTATAATTCACGACGGGATCGTTGAAAAACGATCCATCGGTGAATCGAAAGAAAACACAAAAAGTCGCAATCGCGCGCTGGCACTGTCCTTCCTCTTTGCGACGAGAGTATGGAAAAGAAAAGCGATCCTAATTCTCAAGAAGTGTCCTGATCGAGAAAGCGTCTACGATCCGCAGCTTGCCACAGCTCCTGTCAGCTCCAGGCAACTCCGCTCGCGGCTCGCGGCTCGCGTCGCCGTCGAGTCGGTACATGATTGCGGCCATGATTCAATGATTGCGCACAACGGCGCCACGGAAACGAGCGGTCCTCGGCGGAGGCTCGGTCGTTCGGTCGACAGGCGGCGTGGACGTAGTCGCGGCGTTCCTGTCCCCCGCAACTCGCAATATCCAATCGCGCACGCCCCACCGGGTCATGTGATCGGCTGAGCCAATCGGCGGGGCGGTCTAGAATCACGGCCATTGTCGCCGAGTCAGAAGACGGGCATATTCTGACAAGCGTAGAAAAACTCGTCAACAGCGGCCGCCATTTTACGTTAGCTAACGTTAGCCGATGCTCGTGCGGTAACGGAGGATCTCGCGATCGGTTTTTCCGAGCGAATTTCTGTGGCGAGCGCGGCGGCCGCGTACGTGCCGATACCCGCGATCGCGTCCGCTTGCTCGCGTCCGCGATATCGCGCGCGAGTGCATGGGGATAAACGCTCATTTCCCGCTGATCGTTCGCGCGCCCCGTGTGTCGCAGTGTGTCCGAGGCCAAGAGAGAGAGAAGAGGAGAGGAAGATGGTACCACGCAGCCAGTCGTTTGGCGAGTCGTCGTACAGTCAGCACGTACGATCGCGTTGGATATACATACGATTGTTATATTTTACGAGAGAAGATAGACAAGTGCCGAAGGGTGATCGAGAGAGTTAAGGAGAGCGCGAAAGAGAAAGAGAGAGAGAGAAAGAAAGAGAGAGACAGATAGACAGACAGACAGACAGGCGCGCACACATTCACACACGCACGCACCACCACACATACACACATACACATATACCACATACATACCATACACACGCACACGCACACAGTGAGTTAGAGTTGAGAGCGAGCGCGAGAGTGAGAGCGCGAGTAGAGCGGGAGAGCTACGAGAGATTATTCGGCGGTGCGTCGGAGTCGCGAGAACCTAGCAGCGAGTCGAGGTGAATCGAATCGTGACGAGACGAGTCCGCGCGTCGCGCGCTCATCATCCGTCTCTCGGCGTTCTTCGGAGTGGCGGAGTCGCGATTCGCCGTCGTCGCCGCCACCGTCGACATCACCGTCGTCGTCTCGTCGTCACCGCCGCTGCCGTCGTTGTGTTCTTCTCGCTTCTCGACGCGGCTGCTGATCTGCCGTCCCGTCCTATCGCCGGCGACGCGGCGCGGCAGCCGTCTCGTCGTCGTTCGCCGGAGTGAAGGAAAGAAAGAGAAAGAGAGAGACAGACAGACAGACAGAGAGCAGCATCAGACATTACTCGTCGTCGCCATCGTCACCATCGTCGCCGTCACCGTAGTTATTCTCCGCTGGTGCTTTTGGTGTCTAGTGGTTCTATTGGTGCGTTTCTACGGTGTGTGTGCATTATTACTTTTGTATTCGTCTGCCCGTGCGCTCGCGGGCTTTGACGCCGGGGGTTCGACGTACCCCGAGTCCTACGATGCCCAATGGTTGACCGTGCACCACAGGATGCTACACGGGGACGCTCCACGCGCCGCGGTTCTCATTGTTGTTGTTATGCGCGCGAGTACGATTGCGGCACGGTGAAATTGTTACGCGGTTGCCCCGCCACTGGCAGGGAGCAAGTGGTAGCTGTATCATCTTTATCTTCATCGTCATCATCATCATCGTCGTCATCAGTATCATCATCATCATCATCACCATCCTCATCATCATCATCATCGTCATCGTCGTTGTCGTTGTCATCGGCGATTGCATCACTGATAGATTTGATAACAACAGAAACGGCGAATGTAGCAACAGCGCCAGCGCCAACCAGGACCACGGCGACGGTGGTCTTCTAGTTGAAGAGATTAAGGACCAACCAAGGGCTTCACTTAGTTACCCACAGTGCTGTTTCGTTTGCGAGACGCGTGTACGACGACCGGACGCGGTCGTGCTACCTGTGTGTGCGCGCGCGCGCGCGCGCGCTGGTGGTTGAGAGGGATCAGCGAGAGACGGGCGCAAGTGGGAAGGAAGAGCGAGAGGTTAGGTTATTACGGAAGAAAGATAACAGCCGCGCGGAGGAGCCATGGCCGACCACCTGGTGGACGGTCCTCCGCCGAAGCGGCCCAAACTCGATCCGTTCCAGGGGACGTCGGATTCGACGGGTAAGTTGTTCGCCAGTTCTTTTGTATTTTTTATCTCTTTTTTTTTTTCGTTCACCGCCGGTTCCTCCGCTTCCTTTCAGTCCATGTTGGAGATTAATGCATTGGAGACTAGAGTCCCGTTTCACTAATGATTAATTTTAACCTTGATTTAATTTGCTGTTTATCAATAAATCTACTGTTTGAATCACCAGAAATTTTTGCACTTAAAATGAGGTAAATATATATTCGAATGTGTTGAAGAGAGAAGGAGCAAGCAACGCGAATAGACACTTTTTTTCTAATTCTTAGATTCTTTAGATTCTTAAATGTTTAGATGTTTAGAGTTTCTTAGAATCTTTCAAAAAAGATAAAAAGTAAACTGCGAGGTTAAAAGTTAGTCTTACATTGGTAGAACCAAGCCGAAGGATTGAAGATTGAAATTCAATCAGATAATTTTTATTTTAATTCATTTCGTTCTTTTTGATTGATTAAATTCTAATCTCCATTTCGTAATTCTCTACATCTTCCTCGTATGGCACAGGCTTTTCCTTTCTTCCAATGTCTTTAGGTCTCTTCTTTGCTTAACTACTCGCAGAACGAAGTAACAGTGTAATATTACATCTATATATTACATAATTTCCTACAACAATAGGTTGTAATTTTTAATTAAACTTCTTGCACCGTTCATCTTTTTTTCTCTTTTTTTTTCATCTGGAGTTTTCTCCAGAAGTGCAGTGCAAAAATTCAGCTGAAAAGAACGCAAGGTAATTGTCATATCCAAATTTTGATGCAAAACATGTGATCAGACTGGAGTTGAAAGTGAATTAAAATTTAACTCAAAGCAAAATTCACTAAACTTGAGGTCGATTTTCTTTCTCTGATTGGTTAAATTCCAATCCAATCTCAATCTTTAATTTAATCAGGGCTTTATGTTATATTTATAGGTTTGTTCGTGTTGCTTGAAATCCTTAAAAATTAGAAGAACTTAGGTACATTCGGACGGATTGAAAAGAGACAGAGAGAGAGAAGAGAGAGAGAGAGAGAGAGAGAGAGAGAGAGAGAGAGAGAAAGAGAAAGAATAAAGATGCTAAGAGCAATAAATACAAGTAACGCTAACAGATCTTACATTCAGTGGGAAATTATAATATTCATGTAATGTTCCTATTTGTGTTCTGCGAGCAGTGCACACTTGTCAAAATGAAATAGATGTTTCTTTCAAATTTGACAAAAGCAAGATTTAATCCAGTGCAGTGATAAAGAACAGGCCTTTTAGCCCTGACGATCATCTCTTTCTCTCCTTCTCTTTCTCTTTTTTTTTCCTTCCTTCCTTCCTTCCTTCCTTCCGGGAACCGCGCGCAGTTCCGCGACTAATCTTACGCAGGAGTACGCGGTGCACGCGTACGCTGTGACGCGCATCGCACATACACACACATACAAATACACGCACATACGGCGGAGAAGAGAAAAAAAAAAGAGACCCGGACCGAGAGATCCGGCGCGGTTTTCACGATTCTATCGGGCGCAGCTGACCGCCATGGCTGTGCTGGCTGGCCAGCCAGCCCACCGTCTGTTTGCGACGTCGGTACGACGCACCGCGTCGCGATGGATCGCTCAGGCGTCGCCGAATCTCCAAGCGAAGTCTCGCGTGAGCGCGCCAAGATGCTCGAGGCGTGCGCCGACAAGTTTCGATCAAAATCGAACGCGTTATCTATTTTCCACGGAATTAAACTTGAAACATAATTAAAAAGTACAGGCAATAGAAAGATATGATCTCAATTAGAATATCATGAATTTGTGCGGATGTATGTACACTATAGAGACGATATTCAGAGTCTTATATTTAAGATCGTCTTAAGGTGTTATAAGTCAATCACAGATCAGTATTCATAGTCCGTTCTTATTTTAAGACAGCTTTAAGTACAATCTTAAGGTGTTATAAGCCAATCACAGGTTAGTATTCATAGTCTGTTCTTATTTCAAAAACGTTAAGTAATGTCTTAAGATGCTAATGGGTTGTCTGATTGGTCCATGACATCTTAGGATTGTACTCAAGACAGTCTTAAATATAAGAATCGATTGTGAATATCTACAAGTATTAGCACTCTTAAAATATTCTTTCTAAAATCTAGAATCTTTAGAATGGATTCTAACTCTAAAGAGTAAAATCTCACTGTTAAAATTGACAGCTGAGTTACTCTTTCAACATTAGCTCAATTATAGCTCAACTATTTGTCACTTTTTAGAATTAGATTCCACCTCAAAGATTTTAGAGTTACTTACGATAATCTTGAAAAAAGAACCGACTATGAATACTGGCTTAAAATAATCAACTCTCAAATTAAAGATTATAAATTGTTCCTCTTTTAAGTACATGATAAAATGTTATGATTTCTAAAAATCCAAATATCATTCATAAAATACATTCGGTAAAAAGATACAAGTTTAAAAAATTGAAATTTAATCTCGTAACTTGATGAGTAATTTTTGTTGCGGTTTCACGTGATGTTATATTGTACATTGGGTGTTATATTTATTTAACAAATATAATACCCACAATAATAATATTGTTTATGTGTTTCATTAACAGTTATAAAAAAATGTTTATTAAAATTTAATTACGACAATTAATATAGATTTTTTTTAATGTCCCTTTTTTCGTTCTTAAGGAATTGGTCATCTAGTATTCACAGTTTCTCCAGTTGAAATAAGTCTGTTATTCCATGTTCCTATTGCTTGTGCTTTTCAATTATATCTTTCTACTATAAGCCATTACCTGAGCTTTAAGTCATAAGCCATAAGAAATTGACCAATCACAGTCGAAGAATAATTGACTATGATCGATCAATTTCTTATGGCTTCACGTTTAGGTAACGACTCTACGCGTACGCGTGAAATCTCGCCGATCTTCCTTCTGACCTTTGACGACGATCACGACAGTGTCGTTCCGCGATACTCTCGTGACGCGACGCGAGCTCCGTCGACGCAAGATGGATGATACACGAGGAGAGCCGCGGTGCGGCGCGCCGAGTTTCGCTCGGAGATTTACACGCGGACAGTATACACGCGCGAGTCTGTTGAGAGAATAACTTTGTACGTTATTTGTTCCGTTTTTTCACACTTGTGTCCATTTCTATTATTGTAGATTAATTTTAATCTCGGTTTAACTTGCTTCTTATCTTCTTTTAATTCTAGGTATTAGAAAAAGGTAAAAAACCCAGAGACCACATAAAGTCCAAAATCGAAACATGAGATGTTTGAAAGAATGTCTAAAAAGCATCTTGAAACAGAAAGAATGATTTTGCTGAAGTATCTTAAAATTTAAGTAGATACAGACAAAATTATTTTCAGATTTGTAGCTAGCTAAATTTTTAGATCAACATAATATATAATATTTAACACAACATAAAGTGTCTATACAATTTTTCTCACTGTGTTGGTATTAATATTAATAGCATGATGTGGATTTAACCTTCTAGGTTTTAAATCTTCATCATGATTGTATGGATTTTAATCCATAATATTTTTTATATTATATGTTGAGATTGACTCTTTCAGATCTGATTTTAATGGACTCATGTTAATTTTTTTTTTTTAATTTAATTTAAGGCTACAGTAATAAATAATTTATGCTAAAAAAATAATTTTTTTAATTTTTAACTATTTTTCTAACATGTACATTATTATATACATCTGTGAAGATGTCGATAGAACTAAATAAATTTCAACGGATGTCTTCAAATTTAATTTAATGTACATTGTATTCAAAATCTGAAAAATTATTAATACCAGTACAGTGAGAATTATGTAGATATTGTGTTAAATTTACACCAATATTTTTTTAATTTAAAAGAAATGTTTACGAGGATCATTTATAAAGATATTTTAGAAACGTCTTATATTCTGGTTATGCTTCGTGTTGTCTGGGAATAAATTAAAGAGATTAAAATTAATCTATCTTGATAGAAATGGACATTACACTGTCTTGCTCTGTTTTGAAACGAATGTGCCATACTGACATTGCAGTTCTGTACATTCTTCTAGACATATTCTAGATTTAAAACATAGTTGCGATCTTGTAGTGCATGAGGGTGCATGACACTTTAATGTTAAAGATTACATCTCGCTGGCATGAACGATGCGCTAATATATATCTCTTTGTTCTTCCTTTATTTTTTGTTTTTTAAATTACCCTTTTGAACACATCTTAATCATCCCTTAACAGTTTTCAAACTCGAAGTTGACGCACATAACGCTGTATTATTATCGATTTGTAATTATCTTTTTACTCGGATGTAATCGCGGACTCTTCGAATCGCTTCTTTGCGAGGGTACTCAGCGAATAAAGTCACAGAAACAGTTTGCTCGAGTTTTCACAAATGCCAAGAATCGCGAGCGTGCGTAAGAGTGCGTTGACCGAAAAGTCGAATTCTCAAACTGTTTCTGTTACTTACAATTAAGTCAGTATTCGTAGTCAATTCTTATATTTAATACCATCTTAAGTATACGGAAAAAACAGTTTTGCTGAAGTATTTAGATTTTAAATCTAAAAATTTTTGCTATATACAGATATGAAAATAATTTTGATCGTTCAGATAATTTAGCAGGACGTTTGATGACAAAAAGTTTGAAAATTCTAGCAGTTTGCTCGTCCTACATAATTATTTTTATGGTCCAACAAAATTATTTTCAGTGCTACATTTTTAAATACTTCAGCAAAATTGCATATCAGAGTATCTTAAGATATTACTTAAGATGGCCTCGAAATAAGAATTGATTATGAATACCGGCTTTAAAGTACCATAATCCAGAGAACAAGCTTTGAATAGTATATTCTCCTTCGTTCTAAATTAAACGAAAAACTGTGATATAGTAGTGGGTATGCCGCCTTTATTGATGCACCCTGCTTATACGAACTACGGGGGAGGTGGCAGTGGTAACATGCAACAAATACAGGCTCCACCGCAACAGCTACATCTGCAACAGCATCCGCTGCAACACTGGAACAACATCCAGAAAAGAAGTAAATATCATTATCAGATCAAAAAAGCGACAATCTCGAAAAAGTATCAAGTTTCGGCACCACAAACAAAAAAAATGAAATCTGTTTGGCCGTTCGATCATCTCATAGTACCATACATTTCTCTCGTTAAAGTTACTTGTCTCAGTCTCTGGTTTTCAGTGACATCTTCCAGTCTCACCACTACTTTCTGATGGGTGATAGTTTTGGCATATTGTCACTATGGTTCAATAACTTTAGTCTATTGTCGACACGGTTAGAGAAGAATATGAAAGAAATGGATGTCGTGATAATTTATCTTTGAAAAAAATATGGCAGAGCATATAGAGCGGCAATACGGATATATTAAGTATTGTCTTACTTTGATCACGGACTGATTCACTTTACATAGCAATGGAGAAAAATTGGATCGGTGGTTGCTATAAAGGTACATAAGAATTCAAGATAAACCGAGTTCCCCTCTTTTCTGTAATGAACACCGTGAGACATTTCTCGATGTGAATCAAAACGTAACATAGACATGCGACACACACGCCCCGAGCTCGTGGACTTGCGGAGGAATTGCAAAGGTGAAATTAAGTATGCATACAACACTGTGCTTCTAACATAAAGAGAGTTTACGATACAGCGCTGATAATAAATAGCGTAGGTGGGAAGTCGACTCGGTCTATATCAATTAAATCTTTTACAGATATTTATAAAGGAACGTAAATATAGAATGAAAATCTATGCGTGCGCAGACAAATCTTGTTTAAAATTTTTGAAAAATTTTTGCCTTTTTTTTTCTTCTTTTTTAGGATGAAGAGAACCGACATTCTCTTACGAACATGGCGCGCCGGGAGTATTATTTTGCTTGAACAGATATTTTCTAGAGTGACTGATTTCTTCGCATGACTCTTCTATAAAGTTTGCCATCGATAGCTTCGCTGGATGCTTGTTTAGTTTAGCACTAATTTATTATGCCGAAAATTTTCATTCTGCTGTAGAATAAGGCTCCTTTACGTTATGCTCATGCAGTGTATGTCTCATGTCTTATTTTTCATGTTTGTTTTACAACCACGTACAGTTTTCTATAATTTTTTCTTTTTTTTTCGTTTTCATTTTGATATATAGGATCTCCTTTTTGCATTTGTACTTTTCCTATATATACATACGTATACATTTATATATGTACACCCTTTTTTTCTCCGTCAATGTATATATGGTCAGTCGTGGATAGATGAGTAAGTTTCATAACAGTTTTATTTATTTAGAAATGTTTACATTTTTTAATGATGTTGATAGGAATGTGAACATTTTGTAATGATGTTAATAGCATCGGAAGTTTTTTGTAATATAGATGAAAATTGAATGCTTTTTTGCCTGTACGTGTCTCTATATACACGCATGTATATATGTATTATATATTTACATGCAATTATATGTGTATATATGTATATAAAAGGGTCTATAATACATTATGCACATAATGATGTAACACGTACATTTGTAATATCGAAGATATAGATACTCTGCTAAAATTTTGATGCTAAAAGCTATGGTGACGGCGCTAAAATCTTACCCTTGTAAAATTACTAATGATTTCTTGGTATCTATGGTACTTATCATTCTCAATATTATAATCATTTTAATCTGCGAACTGGTTATCTCGAAAAATAGTACATGTACTGTATATAATGTGTCATGATAAAATTTAAATAGTTCAGAAACAGATGAAAGTGTCATTTTGATACACAGCGAGTAAAATTAAACAATAAAATAAAATGAAAAGTCAAATTAATGAATTAATGAATAAATTAATGATACTATAAGTCACGTACACACACTGATGTAATAACAAATGTAGAAATATATTTTTCTGATAGCCAGTATGTGTTATCACGACAAAAACATGATGCTCATAGAAACGTGATTCTTAATTTCTTTCTTTTCTTCATTCTCAGATTACATTTCTAACACAGAAATGTTCGATCTTGAAAATGATCTTCCTGATGACTTGCTGTCATCTGGATCTTGGGGTTCCACAACCGAGAGCACCAAGCCACCTGCAACTGGTCCTGGTCCAGGGCAGCAAAATGGTGCTCTCGAGACAGAACTCAGACAACATGTACAGCAGCAGCAACAACAACTCTCTCATCATCTTATTCAACAACAGCAGGTATGATTACATTACACATTAGAAATCTGACAATTTTATTAATCGATATACACCTTATACTTTATAAAAAATTATTAAACAGGGAAACAAAAACTTGGTGGCGAATTCCTTAGTAATGGCTGCTGGAACGTTAGGTAACAAGAGTCCGAATATGCAATCGCCACCGAACGTTTCCGTTTCTAAGGGAGGAATAGTCGATCCACAGATGGTCGTGAGTCTTGGTAATCTACCAAGTAGTATAGCCAGTTCGTTGGCGAATAATCAAATGTCGATCGCGAATTCGATGGGCGGTTTACAATCATCTATGAGTATGGCCGGAAGTAACCCCGCGATGTCGATGCCGGGCGGTATGAATTCCGGTTTAGTGATGACTAGCACCGCTAGCGGAAACAATATGGGAGGAATGGCTGGCGGGAGCTTGATAGTAACAAACAGTTTGAACAAACAACCTTTAAATACAGTATGTTAATTTATGTAATACAATAACTTTTTCTCTAGTAAAACATTGATAATCATATATTTGACCAAGAATCTTTTAAAGGTAACCATGATGGGCCCTAATACTCAAGCAATACATCATCCCGGTGCTCCTCACGGGGTTACGCCGATGCAAAATGGTCCTGGAATGATGAACACAAGAGCTGTGGCAATGCAGCAACAACAGCAAGCGCATATGATTGGACCGGCGAGAGGGCAAAGTCCTCATCAACAGGTGCATCAAGTTGGCATCGTCGGTCCTGGTCAGGGTGGTCCCAGAATGCAGGCTCCTCCTAACATGGCAAATATGCCGACTATGGGGCAACTAGGTGCATCGAATCCGTATAGCTATGGTATATAAAATATATTTTCTTTTGTTTTATATATATATATATTATATATATATGAACGAAGAAACGAACGTTGTCAATAGAGACAGATGCAGCACGATGAAGATAAAATTTATAATACAGGTTCTCCAAATACGGTTGGACCAGGGGCAGGCGTAACTGTATGCTCCAATAATCCCGTAGGTGTCGTCAAACCGCAGCAGAAGGGCGTTGGAACAAACATGAGTCCCATGCAAGCGGCAGCC